TTTCATTTTGGGACACAACTTTAGTATTTACTCTCCGATGCTTGTTTTTTTTCTAACAGAAGTAACATGAGTAAATCTTCCCCGTACCGCACGCAGCCCAACTAATCTATTAATCAGATTCGTTGACAACAATTTTCATAATCGATTATTATCGATTAGTTGTTGCAGCTCTAATAGTTTCGTGTTTTCAGCCCTTTCTAATCTTTAACTTTTATGGAGCTTTGTGGGCATTACTAAATGCAAATGAGCGATCAGGAGTGCACTTTGCACTTGATCGAGATACAGACGCGAGTAAAAAGGAAACCAGCATTTCTGAATTTATTTTTATACGGTTTGGCTTACACAAACCTTCTCACACAAACTGAGGCCCAATACTGGTAATGACCGCAAACAATACCTGGCTAAGTAAATGCCAGCAATGTGTGTATATCATTAAAATATGCTGATATAACCTGATGATAATATGCTATTGTTAATGCAGTACTGCTTGAAGGTTTGTGAAGCTTTTAGAATTTTCTACATATCTGCATAAATATGACCTAAAACATCATCAGATTTTCCTAAACGTACAAAGAGAACCCAATTAAACAAATGAGACAAAAATATTATACTTGGTCAATTATTTATTGAAGAAAATAATCCAATATTACATATCTGTGAGTGGCAAAAGTATGTGCTTCTCTAGGATTAGCAGTTAATTTGAAGGTGAAATTAGAGTCAGGTGTTTTCAGTCAGTGGGATGATGATCAGGTGTGAGTGAGTGACGTCCTGTTAAATTTAAAGAACAGGAATCTATCAGAGTCTGATCTTCACAACAAATGTTTTTGGAAGTGTATCACAGCATGAACAAGAGAAATTTCTGAGGACCTAAGAAAAAGAGTTGTTGAAGCTCATCAGGCTGGAGAATTTCACAAAACCATCTCTAAAGAGTTTTGACTCCACCAATCCAGTCAGACAGATTGTGTACAAATGGAGGAAATTCAACACTGTTAGCTTCCCCAGGAGTGGAGATCAACAAAGATCTCTCAAAGAGCAAGACGTGGAATAGTCCACGAGGTCACAGAGGAGCCCAGGGTAGCTTCTAAGCAACTAAAGGCCTCTCACACATTGTCTAATGTTAATGTTCATGAGTCCACCATCAGGAGAACACTGAACAACAATGGTGTACATGGCAGGGCTGCAAGGAGAAAGCCACTGCTCTCCAAACAGAATATTGCTGACCTTCTGCAGTTTGATAAAGGTCACGTGGATGAGCCAGAAGACTAATGGAAATGTTTTGTGGATGGATGAGATCAAAATAGATCTTTTTGTTTTAAATGAGAAGCATTATGTTTGGAGAAAGGAAAACACCTTCCATCTGTGAAACATGGTGATGGTAGAATCATGGTTTTGGCCTGTTTCGCTGCATCTGGACCAGGACGACTCGCCATCATTGATGGAACAATGAATTCTGAATTATACCAGCGGATTGTAAAGGAGAATGTCAGGACATCTGTTCATGAACTGAATCTGAAGAGAAAGTGGGTCATGCAGCAAGACATCGAGCCTAAACACACAAGTCCTCCTCTCAAAGAACGGTTAAAGAAGAATAAAGTTAATGTTTTGGAATGGCCGAGTCAAATTCCTGACCTTAATCCAATAGAGATGTTGTGGAAGAACCCGAAGCAAGCAGTTCATGTGAGGAAACCCACCAACATCCCACAACTGAAGCTGTTCTGTACTGAGGAACGGGCTAAACTTCCTCCAATCCAATGTGCTGGACTGATCAACAGTATACTGAAAGCAATGGTGCACATACTTTTACCCCTCACAGATATGTAATATTGGATCATTTTCCACAATAAATAAAACCTGTGGGGTGAAAATAAAATATTATGACCAAGTATAATATTTTTGACTAATTTGCTTAATTTGGTTCTCTTTGTATACTTTCAGAACTTCTGATGTTTTAGGTCATATTTATGCAGAAATATAGAAAATTCAAGCTTTCACAAACTTTCAAGCACCACTGTAATACAACTATGGATTCACTGATGTGTTTTTTCAGACTAAGTATGAGTACAAGTTCATGGGTTGTTAAGTTTTTTTGCACTTCCTGCACTGATACAGAAATGAGTAATCTACTTTATAAGCAACGCATCAAGACTTCAGTCAATCCACACCAGCTGCAGTATGGTTGCAGTGGAGATCAGTGGGTTTTGTTCACTGTCGATGTATGATAGTGGCTGAATGTCAGGAACTTTGTGGCCAAGAGCTGTTATTTTCAATCACCTAGTGTCACCTGGAGACATATATTCTTGCCTAGTAAACCTCCAGAAAACCTCATCACCTCTCACCTCCTTGTGTGTGTGCTTATAGAGTAGCGAACACTGACTAATAGCTTTCAAACATAAATGCATGATCCCAGTTGGTTTATCCTGTTTCTCACCATAGCAGCTAGTAGAGAATAAAATGTGATTAAACAAAGGAATGCATTCATTGACTGTTTATACCTGTTTTTTATTGACTGTTTATACCTGTTTTTTATTTCTGTAAAGCTGCTTTGAGACAATGACTATTGTAAAAAGCGCTATACAAATAAAATTGAATTGAATTAAAAATTTATATTTAATTAATATTATAACTCCTGTCACCTAACAGTGCATACACTTAAATAGTTTTTGTCCTCTTGTTCTTCCTAGAAAAAAAATCTAGGTGTTTGGTGTTAATACACAGAATATATTAAATAAGTTACATTTACATTTACATTTATTCACTTGGCAGACGCTTTTATCCAAAGCGACTTACAAATAAGCAAAGCGATATATCAAGCAGGGAACAATACAAGTAGTGATACTATACAAGATCCATTAATTGAATACCAGAGGAAAGTTATAAGATTAACAGTCTTAGATTGTAGCCCTTCAAGGCTCACTAAAATGCTGATCTCCCCTGGGCAGAATTTCATTTTGACACCTCTGGTTAACTGTATATGGCCTAAAAAATCAAGCAAATAAATAAATAAATAATAAACATGATTAAAAAAAAAATCTTTACAGGAACACTATCCCACTGTCCTTGTAGATGGCAGTGCAGAAATGAAAAATTCAAACTAAACATACACCATGGAGCCTACAGTTTTTTATGATGATAAATATATAATATTTTACTGGCAAGTGACCGTAAAAGACCCCTCTGGACATTTGAACTGCACCGCCAGTAAAAACCGGCCCTGTAACATACAGCGGTCTTACATCACATAGTACCACCTGGTACTGGTATCAGTACATCCCTAAATACAACACTGCACTAATGATAATTATCATGATCAAATTATTAATTATTATCATGTTAATTTACATTAACTAATGATGTCACGATTGCTGAAAGGTGCTCATTGGTTGTATGTGGAAAATAACTAAAAAGAAAGTGGGCGGGACCAATGGTGTCTATCTGTGTTATGGTGTCAAACAAAAGTCCTCTTTGTTTACAATAATAACGATGATAATGACGATGATTATTATTATTATTATTAATATTAATATTATTATCAACAAATGCTGTTAGTGGAACAAGGAAATAAGCATAAATTAATTGGAATAAATATTATTAAATGTGAAACCTACCGGTAATCAGCGCTAAAGTGAACAGACACAGTGTAAAATATAAAATCTTAAACTTCATAACAGAAACCGGAAGTTAGTCTGAAATAAACACACTATAACGCCACAGTGTTACTGAAGGGCGAAGGGAAAACGCACGCGACACCCGTAATAAAAAAAAAAGAAAGTAAAACACAGCACGTGCGATGGTACTCTATTACTCACGCGCGGGTGTTTATGATGAATGTGCATTCCGTGTTTCACTCTGCAGGTTTTAAATCCCAGCTCGCGCTACAGCCTCTCCACATGGACGAAATTGCCGGGAAGCGCGGGCACGTCCACGAACTTTCCTACAGCCAATCAGACGGAGCCAAGCAGGCATGCTGGGAAATGTGGTTGTAATTCATACAGATTTCCGGTGTTGTACCGAAATCGGTGACCTACTGAAAACTGTGACCAGGGGTCGCTGTTCAGCAAATGTTCGCACGGGAACGTGCTTGACCCCCGTGCACGTGACCGTGAGCGCGCAGACTTCATGCAGAGAGCAGACGCTGAAGTGGAATGCAGCGTCTGAGGAGCCTGAGGTGCTTTAAATAAAAGATGTTTCATGTTCTTAGAGAAACACGTCCAATGGACAAGCCGGATATTGTCACGAGCATCCAAATGCTGGTATAGAGAAGAAATAAAACATTAATGCTGCTGTTGTTATCTGCTGCTAGACTGCTAATGTGTTTCTACTATGAATGGTTTCGTTATGAGTAGATGTTTTACAGTAGCGCTTGTGTTGTATAACACATTCTGATTGTCTGATGTATGTAGGATTATCATTATTCTTATAACTATATCTTTATCCTTATATTCTTATTCATATATTCTTATTAGATATGTTAATTCTGTGTTACAGTGTTCTATGTGGCCATTCACAGATTACCCCTCCCCCCGCGGCTCCGCCCCCACTGTCATCTTGTTTTTTATATAAATATTAACCATTTAGTTCAGTTGGAGAATGTTCAGTGAATGCTGTAAACTCAAAGAGTCTGCTCCGTTCAGCTGAAGAATTTCAGCATAGAATAATAATCGACCGCAAATTTATTCCTGTAGCATAAGTGATAGGAAGCAATTGTAATATAAGACCATTCAAATCTCAAATCTTTTTAACATGAAAATAAGAAGGCAAAAATGACAAGCTTGAGAGTAAAAAGCCAGATCAGCAAGCAGTGCTGCAGTTTTATGGAAATAAAAGGGCTGCTGCCAAATGTAAATTTAATTGTGAAATTAATAATTTTTCTGAATTTACAGTAAGTAACATACAGTGGGTCTGTCACTACATTTGTGGATGGTAATACTGTATTTTTTTGTTGTTGTTGTTTTAGTTCATAACGTTTAACTTTTCTTTTAAAGATTCTTTGGATTGGTATTGTCATTGTGGCGCAGGTGCTAGAGCGGGTTGTCCACTAATCATAGTGTTGGTGGTTCGATCCCGCCCACATGACTCCACATGCTGAAGTGTCCTTGGACAAGACACTGAACCCCAAGTTGCTACCGATGGCAAGTTAGCGCCTTGCATGGCAGCTCTGCTACCATTGGTATGGGTGAATGAGACACAGTGGAAAGCACTATGTAAGTGTGGCATTTACCATCTTTTTGACGACACACAGTCTGTTTACAATGTCTACCAAGGTGATAAGAATATCTAGTTAAACTAAAGTAGTCAAATGAGCTTTTTGGTGATATAACACTTTTTTACATTTTAGTCCCTGCCCCTTGAGGGATTTTCTGCATGTCCCATCTTTATATAGAGACTTTTATTCACCAGAACTTTGCGAAGTATATGCAGTTACTTTGTGTTCTGTCATTACCAAGCCTAGTTTACACCTTATTTGCCTTTCACTGTTTTGATCCCTTTTATGCCCATTGATACTGTTTTGTGCCTTGCCTAGTTTAGTCTGTTTGTTCATCGCCTGACCATTGTCTGTTCATTGTCTATGATTCTGATTTGCCCTTTGGATTTTCTGCCTGGATTATTTAATAAACTCTGCTGTACATGCTATTGCAGCCATTCTGACTCACTTTACTGACAGCTACTTAAAACCCTACAAAACCCTACAAAACCCTCAGAAACCCTCCAAAACCCGCCAACATGCTAAAACACTCTGAAACCCTAAAATCCTCAAACATCTTCAGAAACCCTTCAAAAACTCTCAAAAACCCTAAAACTCTCTGTTATAAAAAGCACTATACAAATAAAATTGAATTGAATTGAATAAAACAAAAAAAAACTAAAATACTCCTAAACCCTCCAAAACACACCAAAACACTCCGAAACCTGAAAAAACTCTCTTAAAAAATTCAAAAACTCTCAGAAACAGTATAAAAACACTCCAAACCACTCCAAAACACCCCCAAACCCTAAAACCCTCCAAAAACCCTCTGAAAACTAAAAACCTCAAACCCTCCAAAAATGCTCTTAAACACTCCCAAAACACTTCCAAACCCTTTGAAACTCCCCAAACCCTCTGAAACCTTCCAAAACCCATCAAACCCCCCAAACATTCCAAAATCCTCAAAAAATACCCTCTAAAACTACAAAACCCTAAAGTAAGTAAGTAAAGTAAGTAAAATTTATTTATAAAGCACATTTCACACAGCAACGCTGACCAAAGTGCCACAGGAATCTACCGTGTACGCCTTTTCGATCTCCGTCATGCCTTTCAGCCTGTTTTACCATTACCTTTTTCATTACCATTACCTAGTAACTTTGAGTTACTTTTAGTTCTATGTTGCTATGAGCTAGAAAGTGTGGTTTTGCTGCAGACTCAGGCGCACCTGGAGAGTCCGAAATGAACACACACACACTGACAGATATGAGCATGTTCAAAAGAGACTTCCCGCTTTATTCAGTCAAAACAGAAGTATTTATACATATTGTACACATTGATAACTGCAGTGCGTGGACAGTTTTTACTGCTCCAAGTGTGAGACAGATTTAGACAAAACACACAGCAAATACTTATGATACAAAATAAGTCCCATGTCATGCTGACACAGAAATGCATAATATAATCAAGGATAGCAGTTGATCAGCTTATTCAAAGAGGTAACTAAATGATTACATTCATCATATATTTGAGAGCAGTTCATAATATAAGAGGGTACATAATATAAAATATAAGATGATAAAAGAGAATTTCCTTTCAGGGACCATGCTGTCCCACTATAGGCCCCACAGCGCAGTTCCGCTGAGGCCCACTATAAGCCCCACGGCACAGCTCCATGCTTGGGACCCACTATAGTGCTTGGACTAGAAGATAACCTTAAACCTAACCAACGCACACAGAGGGGCTCTGTGGGGCTCACACACACCGAGGGGCCCCAGGAGCTAAAAGTTGCCACAATCTCCCAGGGGCCCCCACACCCCCATGGGCCCCAACACACAGACAATCTCCCCAGGGGGCCCCTAACATGCGCACTCTGTCCCCAGGGGGGCCCCCAACACGCGGACACTTTCCCCAGGGGCCCCAACACGCGTACACTCTCCCCAGGGGAGCCCCAACACGCAAGCACTCTCCCCATGGGGCCCAACACTTGTACACTCTCCCCAGGGGCCCCTATGCCTCCAGGGCCCCCAACACACATACACTCTCCCCGATGATCCCACCCCACATTCACTCTTCCCTGGGGCCCCAACACACACATACTCTTCCCAGAGGCCACCAATGGCCCCAACACACATACACTCTGCCCAGGGGCCCTAAACACACACTGGGGCCCCCAGTGGCCACAACATGCATACACTCTCCCCAGGGGCCCCCAGATCCCTAGGGGCCCAAACAAACAGGAGCCCCAAGGGGCCCCAACACACCCAGGGGCCCCAAAATGCATTCAATCTCCCCATGGGCCAGCAGGGGCCTCAACACACATACACTCTACAATGGGGCCAGGGGCCCCAGTACACACAAAACACCCAGGGGCCCAACATGCATACACTCTCCTCAGGGGACCCCAACACACACAAAACCCTCAGGCCCCTAGGGGCCCCAACACACACAGCTTCCAAGCATACACTCTCCCCAGGGGCTGCCAGGGGCCCCAACACACATATGCTCTCCCCAGGGGCCCCCACACCCCCAGGGGCCCCAACACAACCAGGGGACCCAAACACCCATACACTCTACAATGGGGCCAGGGGACCCAACACACGGAACACACAGGAGCCCCCAAAGGCCCCAACAGGCATACACTCTTCCCAGCGGCCCAAACATGCATACACTCTCCCCAGGGGCCCCAACATGCATTCACTCTGCCCAGGGGCCCATGTGGCTCCCACACATATACAGTACATTCTCCCCAGGCGACACTATGCCCCCAACACACACTGGGGCCCCAAGACATATACACTGTCCTCAACTCCCAGGGGCCCCAACACGCATATACTCTCCCCAAGAGCCCAACACACACAGGGGCTCCCAGGGGCCCCGACATGCATACGGCCTTCCCAGGGGCCCCATGCCCTCCCAGAGGCCCCAAACATACCCATAATCCCCCAGGGGCCCCAACACGACAGGAAGGGGGACCGTGTCGGTACAGTGACTGCGATTGGACAGTGTTGGGACAGTGACGAGAATGTGACGGGACAGTGACTGGACAGTGTTATTTAACAGTTTAGATCAGTAGTTAATAGAGTACAGAAGTTGCCAATGAGGCCACATTGTGAAGCACACAAACACATTATAAAGACACACACATTTTGATATTTTGTAAAATAATTAGTAAAATTGTAATAATTTTTTAAATTATTTTTTTTTTTACATTTTTTATTATTTTTTTTTAATAGCAAGCTTTTTGTGTTGAGATACAGGTGTATCTGAGTCTGTGAGGGTGGAACTTAAGTATAATCTGAACTGTATAACATTATCACTAAGTATTGTTTTTATTTCTTTAGTATTTGTGGGCATAAAACCCTGCCTATAATTAAACAGTATAATAGTTTAGTAATATCAGCTATGATAGCAAGTCACCTACACACAGCAGTAGTTAACATAGCAAACATTTACATTTCCTCCCTAGCAGTCGCTATACAGCATTAAATAGCCGATCAAGCTGAACAAGAGATAAGAGAAGCTAACGGGGCATGTCACATGA